CCAGGGATGTGCGGGTTAGGGTGGATTGGCCGTGCTAAATTGTCCCGCAGTGCCCAGGGATGTGCAGGTTAGGGTGGGTTAGCCAGGGTAAATGCAGGATTGCGAGGATAGAATAGGGGGTTGCTGGGTCTGGATGGGTTCCTCTTTGGAGTGTCAGCATGGACCCGTCGGGCCAAATGGCCTCTTTCCACACTCTAAGTATTTCTACAATCCCATGATTCTGAACGTCAAGGAAGCTCAAGGCTTGGGGGCCTTGTGCTGGAAAGTGGGGATCAGTCAGCATAACCTTGATGGGCCAAAGGGCCTCTTCCATGCCGTCCTCTGACGGGGTTTTTGTTTTTGCCTGCAGGTGTCCCGGTTGTTGCCGCTGGCCCCTGAATGTTGGGTATCCAGGGGCTGTAGATCGCTGACCCTGGGGAAGAGGGGTCTGGCCGGCTGGCACCGCCAGGGAGATTGCCCCCGGGTGAGGGGTCTCCAGCCTCTGCTCCCTCCGTCGGCCTGCGCCATGTCGGACTGCATCCTGAACCTGGACTTCTCGCCGGTGCAGCCTTCTGTAGTGGCTCAGCCCAGCCTCAAACATAAGCGGTTCTTGAAGAGGCGGGCCTACCTGGAGAGCAGGGGCTACCTGAGCAAGAAACGGGGCTCGTGGAGCCGGCCGGGGCGGCCCCCTCCCTCCACCCACCAGACCCTGAGGCCCTCCGGCATCCCTAACGGGGAGGCGGAGAGGACGGGTAAAGGGAGCCAGGGGGCTAACCGGCCCGTCGGCCGGGGTGCAGCCCTCTCGGAGAAGGACCAGCTCCTGGCTGAGTGTCAGAGCGGACTACCTCCCCCTGGCCGGGGCGGTCCCCCCAGACCCCAGCACGCTGCCAGGCCTGCTCCCGCCCCAACCCCGCCCCGGGGACCCCACAAGCCTTACAAGTGCTTGGCCCTCGACTGCGAGATGGTGGGCACGGGCCAGGGGGGCAAGAGGAGCGAGCTGGCCCGCTGTAGCCTGGTGGGTTATGACGGAGAGCTGGTCTACGACAAGTACATCCTGCCGCCCAACCCCATTACCGACTACCGGACCCGCTGGAGCGGCATCCGGCGGCACCACATGAGGAACGCCACGCCCTTCAAACTGGCACAGAAAGAGGTAAAAGGCCAAGGGTGTGGGACGGGGAGGGGGCGGGCGCATGGGTTAAAGGCCACGGTGTGGGCGGGGAGCGGTGTCGGGAATGTTCAGGCTCATTCAGAGAGGGGCCGGAACTGGAGGAGGCCATTCAGCCCCTCCACCCCCTCCTCAAGCCTGTTAGGAATAGCAAGAGGCCATTCAGCACCCCCCTCCTCCTCGAGCCTGTTACACAGGAACAGGAGGCCATTCAGATCCCCCGCCCCTGCCCACCCAAGGCTATGACGTAGGAAAAGGAAGCCATTCAGCCCCCCTCCTCAAGCCTGTTAGGAATAGCAGGAGGCCATTCAGTTCCCCCCATCGAGCCTGTTAGGAATAGCAGGAAGCTATTCAGCCCCCCTCCTCGAGCCTGTTACGCAGGAACAGGAGGCCATTCAGTTCCCCCCCCAACCCAAGGCTGTTGCACAGGAACAGGAGGAACCGTCCTGTTAGCGCTGCGCTCGCTCTAAGACCAATACCTTGTTGCTGTGATGTGGCAAGGGTGGCTCACTGTATTGACAGGTCTCTATGTCGAATTTCTGCAGATATTAAAGCTGCTGTGCGGGAAGATTGTGATTGGTCACGCTGTCCACAACGACTTCAAGGCGCTGAACTACTTCCACCCACAATCCCTGACCCGTGACACCTCGAAGATCCCACTCCTAAACCGCAAGGCCGGCTTCCCTGAGAAGGAGGCAGTCTCACTGAAGAAACTCACAAAACAGCTGCTCCATCGAGACATCCAGGTGGGTCAATGCCAGCCACAACTCCGTAGCTCAAACACCTTAACCCAGACTGAACCCCTGTTCATCACCACACCTCCATTCACCCCTGTCTCTGTCACCTCCTCCATCCCCCTACACCCCCTCCCTATCTCTGTCACCTCCTCCATCCCGTACACCCCCACCCTATCTCTGTCATCTCCTCCATCCCGTACACCCCCACCCTATCTCTGTCACCTCCTTCATCCCGTACACCCCCACCCTATCTCTGTCACCCCCTCCATCCCGTACACACCCTCCTTATCTCTGTCACCTCCTCCATCCTGTACACCCCCTACCTATCTCTGCCACCTCCTCCATCCCATACACCCTCTCCTTATCTCTGTTAACTCCTCCATCCCGTACACCCCCACCCTATCTCTGTCACCTCCTCCATCCCGTACACCCCCTCCCTATCTCTGCCACCTCCTCCAGCCCCTACACCCCCTCCCTATCTCTGCCACCTCCTCTGGACCCTACACCCCCTCCCTATCTCGGGAATATCCTTTCTGCATTTACCATGTCTAGTCCTGTTAGAATGTTAGTGGTTTCTATGAGAACCCCCTCCTTCTAAACTCCCAGTCAATAAGTTCTAACTGATCCAGTCTCTCTTCTTACATTAGTCCTGCCATATCAGGAATCAGTCTGGGAAACCTTGGCTGCCCTCCCTCAACAGCAAGAATGTCCTTCCTCAGATACGGAGACCAAAACTACACACAGTATTCCAGGTGTAGTCTCACCAAGGCCCTGTCTAAATGCAGCAAGACCTCCCTGCTCCTGTAATTGAATCCTCTCACTCTGAAGGCCAGTATACCATTCACCTTCTTCACCGCCATCTGTATGTGCATGAGATAGTAGGAACTGCAGATGCTGGAGAATCTGAGACAACAAGGTTTAGAGCTGGATGAACACAGCAGGCCAAGCAGCATCAGAGGAGCAGGAAAGCTGATGTTTCGGGCCTAGACCCTTCTTCAGAAACATCAGCCTTCCTGCTCCTCTGATGCCGCTTGGCCTGCTGTGTTCATCCAGCTCTACATGTTGTTATCTCTGTATGTGCATGCTTGCTTTCGGTGACTGGTGTACAAGAACAGCCAGTTGCACCTCCCCCTTCCTTTCCCAATCCATCTATCGGCATTCAGATAATCATCTGCTCTCCTGCGTTGGTTACCACAGTGGATAACCTCACCTTTGTCCACTTTATGCCAACTCAACAACTTCAGTGCATAAACGCTGCCGCTTATTTTAATTGCATTTTCCATCCATGACCCTGTTGTCTTGTTTACATTTTGAATTGTACTCAGTACCATTTGGGCCAGGCAATGACCATCTCTAATAAGAGACAATCTAATTGGGTACTGCAGCACATGGACTGCCCACTTGATTGGCACCACATCCACTCCCTCCACCCCCAATGCTTAGTAGCAACAGTGTGTACCATCTACAAGATGCACTGCAGCGACTCACCAAAGATCCTTCGACAGCACCTTCCAAACCCATGACTACCTCCATCTAGAAGAACAAAGGCGGCAGATACATGGGCACACCACTCCCTGCAAATTCCCTTCCAAGCCACTCACTATCCTGACTTGGAAATATCTCGCTGTTCCTTCAGTGTCGCCGGGTCAGAATCCTGGAATTCCATCCCTAAGGGCATTGTGGATCACCCTACAACTTACTACAACCCCCTCAAGGGGCAATTAGGGACGGGCAATAAATGCTGGCCCTGCCAATGGTGCCCACATCTCTCGAGTGAATAAAACCTATTTTGTTCTATTTGCACCAACCGTTAACATCTATTTTGCGTCCTGATCATTTCTTTACTCCCATTAGTAGTCCCTTTAACTTTTGTTCTGGGCTCCCTTCAGCATTTGTTCCACTTACTCCTCCTCCCCACTTTGTGCAAAACATAAAAAACGTCCCCTTCGGCTCTGAAGAATCATACCGGACTTGAATCGTAGAGTCATGGAGTCATACAGCATGGAAAGAGACCCTTCTGACCAACCAGTCCATGCCAACCACAATCTCAAACTAAACAACTCCCATATGCTTGCTGCTGGTCTGTATCATTCCAAACATTTCTTATTCATGTACTTTTCCAAATGTCTTTTGAATGTTGTAACTGTACTCGCATCTACCACTTCCTCTGGAGGTTAATTCCACACATGAACCACTCTCTGTTCCTAAAAAAAATTTGCCCCTTGTGTCTTGTTTAAATCTTTCTCCTCTCCTTAAAAATATGCCCTCTAGTTTTGAGCTCCCCTAACCTAGGGAAAAGACACTTGCTGGTCACCTTATCTATATCTCTCATGATTTTATAAACCTCTATAAGGTCACCCCTCAACCTGCTACACTCCAGTGAAAAAAGTCCCAACCTATCCAGCCTCTCATTATAACTCAAGCCCTCCATTCCCAGCAACATCCTGGTAAATCTTTTCCAAACCCCTTCCAGTTTAATAACATCCTTCCTATAACAGGCCGATCAGAACTGGACACAGTGCTCCAGAAGAGGCCTCACCAACGTCCTGTAAAACCTCAACGTTACGTCCCAACTCCTATACTCAGAGGTCTGAGCAATGTAGCCAAGTGTGCTAAATGCCTTCTTAACCAAGCTATCGATGTAAGAACAAAAGAGAAGTACAGCACAGGAACAGGCCCTTCGGCCCTCCAACCCTGTTCCGATCAGCACGCCCTGACTAAACTAAAAAAACAAACCTTCTGCCTTATTCAGTGCCTATCCCTCCACTCCCTCTCTATTCATGTAACCTTCCAGATGCCTCTTAAATGTCGCCAACGTGTCTGCTTCCACCACCACCTCTGGCAGTGCATTCCAGGCTCCTACCACTCTCGGCATGAAAAACTTCTCTATTCACGTCTCCCTTAAACTTTTGCTCTCTCACCTCGAACCTGTGCCGCTTTGTAACTGATACTTCAACCCTGGGAAAATGTCTCTGACTATCCACCCTATCCATGCCTCTCATAATTTCATAGACCTCTATCAGGTCTCCTCTCAGCCCCCGTCTTTCCAATGAAAACAATCCCAGTCTTTTTAACCTTTCCTCATAGAGAATGCCCTCACTGGGCAACGTCCTGGTGAACCTTTCTCTGCACTCTGTCGAAAGCTTCCAGGGCGGCACAGTGGCTCAGTGGTTAGCACTGCTGCTTCACAGTGCCAGGTACCTGGGTTCAATTCCACCCCCTTGGGCGACTGGAGTTTGCACATTCTCCCTGTGTCTGCGTGGGTTTCCTCCAGGTGCTCTGGTTTCCTCCCACAGTCCAAAGATATGCAGGCTGGGTGGATTGGCAGTGCTAAATTGTCCCGTAGTCCCAGGGATGTGCAGGTTAGGGTGGATTGGCCGTACTAAATTGTCCT